ACGAATCAAGTCAAGGCCCTTGCATCTATTTAGTTCATTAATGCTTATGTATTAATTTTTCTTTTGGGTCGTCTTGTTCTAAAGATAGAAAGATCGATTCTTTAACGTTTAACTAATGTGTAGGGCCACATTATCTTAGTCATTTTACTAGGTTAGGATAAAAGTCATTTGTCCGGCTGTTTTCATTGGCTATTTTGGGTTGATAAAAGTGTATGACCGGTCGGCATTTAAGAAGATACATGACCTGATATTTATATTTTTTCCCTTTACTCATTTTGCATAACTTCTTTAATTTGTAGTTGCTACACAAAAGTGACGAAGTTGCTTTGACTACGGAATCATACCTGTCTGTTGGAGCGAATTGGATGATCGGGCCGAGGGCTGCCCCCTCTTTCCCTCACTCTCCTTTCCCTAATATGAACCTTGAGTCATCGTCTGGCGGAAAAGACTTTCTGAATGGGGTAAAAGAACTTGGGATCGTCGATCTCTTCCTTAAAGATTGGGATGAGTCGATGTCAGTCGATGGTGTGAAAACACTTCATGATGTCGAATTCCAAAAATCAGCGAGAGGTTCCCCACTCTTCTTTGTTCCGTCTTAGGACGGAGTGGAAGTCTCGACCCGAGCGAAAGTGTCTTAACACAAGTTCTTGCTAACAGAGGTTTTGCCGAAGTTCTCAAAAAAGGTGCCTCAAATCTTTCTCTTCATCGTATGGATCAAATGATTCTGGAAAAGAAGTCCCAAAAGGTCTACCTGATGTATCTAGAATTTGGGCTGGCTAATATTTGATCCAGTCTTATTGGACCAAGAGAGACAACTGGACTGCTTTTTCATACTTGAGCCCAAGTTCATAGTCAGATTGAGCAAGTAGAAGAAACATCAAGACATGAAGATAATACTATGGAACAATCTAGAATTCCTGATTAGGATAGTACCATTCTTCCTCTAATTTTGTCTCACTATATAGTTGTCTAATTGTACAAAATATAAGTGTCCATTGTACAGAATTGGTTATAGGTCTCTGTCTTTTAGTTTTTCCCCTTTTGTATAAGTAGGGGTACATATACAATGTAAAAAAAAACGTTTCAAAAGAATGCAAAATATTCCTATTGCTTTCATGGTATCAGGAGCAAGTGCTCTAATTTAATGATCTTATTTCTCTATCTTTTGTTGTTTTCCTCCTTTTTTCCCCCTTTCATCTCTTCTATTCCATCATTTCCTTGCTATGGCTGTTGCTTCAGAATCTGGTATTTCATCTGGAGAAGTCACGCCCGGGACTATCCTTGATGCTGTTGTTAGGAACACCATAGTAGTAGCTTCAAATCTTGTGGATGGAACTCATCCATATTTTCTTAACTCTTCTGATTCTCCTGGAATAAACCTTATTAATGTCAGTTTTGATGGAACTAGTTATGAAAATTGGAGAAGGGGGTATTAATCTCTCTTTCTGCTAAAAACAAACTAGGATTCATCAATGGTTCATGCAAAAACCAGTTGAGAACTCACCTCTGTTTGCACAGTGGAGGAGATGCAATGACATGGTCATTGCTTGACTGTTAAACTCCTTAAGCAAGGATATAGCAGAGAGTGTCATTTACTCTGAGACAGCTAAAGAACTTTGGGCTGAGATGGAATAAAGATATGGCCAGGCTGATGGTGCAAAGCTGTTCCAGCTGCAAAGAGAACTTAACAACATTTTGCAAGGAACAAATGATGTTACAGCATACTTTACTAGGCTCAAAAGAATCTGAGATCAAATGAAAGTTCTTAATACTTTCATAACTTGTGGGTGTGAGTGCAAATATGGAGCAAAAACTCACAATCACAAAATGAATGAAGATCAAAAGCTAATCTAGTTCTTGATGGGGCTCAATGAGGGATATTCTGGAGTAAGGGGAAACATCCTCATGATAAAGCTCCATCCTTCTACAGCATAACCTTATTCAATCATTTTACATGAAGAATCTCAAAGAGAGGTCCATTCTGGTCACCATGTGTCAACTGATCAGCCTAGTGCTTATAATGTTAATGCACAAAAATAGAATGCACAGAAAGCTAACGGTGAGTACAGGGGTGGAAATCATAACAGTAATACTGAAGAAAGAAAAAATAACTTCTGCTCATACTGTAAGAAGAAGGGACACCAGAAAGAGAAATGTTATAAACTTGTTGGGTACCCACCGTCTTTCAAGTTCACTAAGCCAAAGAGAAACTTTGGAAATGTTCAGGCTAATGCAACAGTGATTGAGGAAGGTGAAACATCAAGAGGAGGAGCAGTTATCACTGGAGGCGTTGCACCTAGCCTAATGAATCCACAGGGGTTCACAAAAGAATAGTGTGAGCAGCTGATTCAGATGACACAATCTGTGCAGGTTGAAAACATAAGTACTTCAGGTTCTAATGCTAATGCAAATGCCAACTTTGTGGGTAAATGTGCTGCTTTTCATACCTTTATTTTGTTGTTTTACAACTATCACATCCAAGTTTTGGATAATTGATTCATGAGCCTCACAATATATGACTCATGATAAAACACTTCTAAATAATTTCAAACAACTTCCTTTCCCTATTCAAGTTACACTACCAAATTCTTATAAAGTCAAAGTTTACAGTTTAGGAAGTGTATTAATTTTACCTGATCTTGAGTTACATAATGTTCTTTATATTCCTTCTTTCAAACATAATCTTTTGTCTGTTGACCAACTGTGTAAGCAGCTGAATTCTGATATTTTATTTACAAAATCTGAATGTTTTGTACATGCCCCTTCTCTGAAGGGGCAAATGGTACTTGGTGAAACTTTTGTTGGTCTCTATGTGCTGGTAGTTGATTCAACTAAGTCTAGAGTGTCTAAGTCAGATTCGGTGTCCATTGAGCCTTTATTTCCTTTCCCTAAAAGTCATGTGAAGACTTGTAGTGCAGTCAACTCAAAGTCTTTTGTTCAGTCTTGTAGTTCTGTCCCAGAGTCTGTTCAAACATCTGTAAGAGGAATTTTTCCATCTAATGAAAGTTTGAATATGAATAAAACTGCAGTTTTTGATTTTATGAATTCGAACAGACTTTGGCATTTAAGATTGGGGCACTTACCTTATCATGCAATGAAGAATATAAAGAATATATCTCTTTCATCAACAGATAAACAGATTTTTCCTTGTGACATCTGCCCAATGGCAAGACAGTCCAAATTTCCTTTTTCAACAAGCTCTATTAGCTCTAAACAGTATTTTGAATTACTACACATAGACACCAGGGGTCCTTACAATGTTCCCACTTACAGGGAAGAAAGATATTTTCTTACCATTGTGGATGATTTATCAAGGGCAACTTGGGCCTATCTTTTGTCTATAAAGTCTAATACTTTCCCTACTCTTAAATCCTTTTTAGCTCTTATAGAAAGACAGTTTTCAGCCAAGATTAAGATCATAAGATCGGATAATGCATATGAGTTAGGGACAGGAATAACTCCTTCAGATTTCTTTGCTTCCAAAGGGATAGTTCATCACACATCATGTATTGGAACCCCACAGCAAAATGGGGTAGTGAAAAGAAAACACAAATACTTATTAGAGACAAGTAGAGCCTTATTATTTCAGTCTCATTTACCAAAGAAATATTGGGGTGACTGTTTGCTAACAGCAACTTAATTACTTGATTAATAGATTCCCTTTAAGAGTTCTAAATAATAGATCACCCTATCAAGTTTTGTTTGGCAAATTGCCAGATTACTCTTATTTGAAGCCTTTCGGTTGTTTATGCTTTGTCTCTACTCTTTCTAGAAATAGAGATAAACTACAACCTAGAGCAATCCCTGGAGTCTTCTTAGGTTACCCTTTTGGAAAGAAAGGATATAGAGTTTTGAATCTTCAATCGAATCAAGTATTTGTTTCCACGGATATCAAATTCTTTGAGTCTATATTCCCTTTTTCTTATTCCACTCCTATGTCAAAATTATTTCCAGCCAGTTTTCCTGTCTCTGATGAGGGAATGCCTATTTTTTCTTCACAACAGGAATCTAATTCACCTAATGTAACTACACCAAGTGTTATTTCTTTATCATCTTCCAGTCCTAGAGGGTCAGATTCCCCCATTGTTACTCTGTCTATATCAAGAGTTGAATCAGTTCCAGCAGATGGGCTACGCAGATCTTCTAGAGAGTATAATACACCTAAATATTTATCAAACTACATATGTGATGCTGCTTATTCAGTAATTTCACCAAACCCATCTTTTACCCCCGTTTCACTCTTACTCTTTCTCTGTACTTTCTCAACCAAATCAACAGTTTGTTAACTCTATATGCCAAATTTCTAAGCCAAATTCTTACCAAGAAGCGGCCATTCATTCCGATTGGCAAGCAGCTATGGCAAAAGAGCTTGAGGCATTAGAATCCAATTGCACCTGGGAAGTAGTTCAACTCCCTTTTGGAAGGAAAGCATTGCCCTGCAAATGGGTGTACAAAGTTAAAGTCAAATCTGATGGAAGTTTGAAAAGACTCAAAGCAAGGCTAGTAATATGAGGAGATACACAACGAGAGGGAATAGACTACACAGAGACATTTTCACCAGTGGTGAAAATGACAACTATCAGATGTTTGTTAACTGTTGCAGTGAAGAAAGGATGGAAATTATACCAGTTAGATGTTAATAACACCTTCTTACATGGCGACTTGGACGAGGAAGTGTTTATGAAGTTTCCACTAGGAGTTGCACCTCCAAGCTCTTCCCATATTTTTCGTCCTCGCAAGTCCCTCTATGATTTGAAATAGGCATCGCGCCAATGGTATGCTCGACTATTCTCTGCTTTAGGATCCAGAGGTTTCACCTCCTCGGTCAATGACTACTCCTTGTTCTTCAAAGCTTCTGGGACTCTAACGACTATATTAGCCGTATATGTTGATGATATTCTCCTAACAGGCAACAATCAAGAAGAAATCAGTGAGATAAAATCATTCCTTGATTCTGAATTGGAATTAAGGACCTAGGAGAAGCAAGTTATTTTCTAGGTATGGAACTTTTACACGAGCCTGGAGTTATCATTTTGACTCAGAGGAAATTTGCAATTGACCTCATTCTACAGTCAAGAGATGTTTCTACTCCATTTGATTCAAACATTAAGCTTACTGCTGATTCTGGTGAGCTTTTGCCTGATCCTACCATTTATCGAAGGCTCTTGGGGAAGCTAAATTTTATCACAAATACCCGACCAGATCTATCCTTTGCTATACAGACTTTGAGCCAATACATGCAATCTCCAAGATCTGAACACTATCAGGCAGCTTTACATACTCTCCGATATGTTCGAAATGATCCAAGTTTGGGACTTTTCTTCTCATCCGAACCTTCATTTCAGATTTTGAGCTATTGTGACGCAGATTGGGCATCTTGCTCGGTTACTCAAAGATCAGTTAGTGGTTTCTTCTTAAGCATAGGAGGATGCCCCGTCTCCTGCAAATTGAAGAAACAACAAGTAATTTCTTAATCTTCGGCGAAAGCTGAATATCGATCTATCCGACGTTTGGTAACAGAACTTTTATGGGTTGTTCGTTTTCTTGCTGACATATCTATTTCCCCTTTGCTTCCGGTCTCTGTCCGTTGTGACAATCAAGCTGTGATTTACATAGCGAAAAATTTATTTTTTCACGAACGAACAAAGCATATCGAAATTGATTTCCACTTCATCCGCAAAAAACTGCTCGATGGTCTAATTTCCTTGTCTTTTGTTCCAACTACAGCCCAAATCGCTGATATCTTCACAAAAGGGTTTGCAGAACCTCTTCATCGAAGTTTTTTAGGCAAGTTGGGAGTCCGATATTCGGGCTCCCACTTGAGGGGGGTGTTAACAGAGGTTTTGCCGGAGTTCTCACAAAAGGTGCCTCAAATCTTTCTCTTCATCGTATGGATCAAATGGTTCTGGAAAAGAAGTCCCAAAGGGTCTAACTGATGTATATAGAATTTGGGTCGGCTAATATTTCATGTTGGACCAAGAGAGACAACTGGACTGCTTTTTCATACTTGAACCCAAGTTCATAGTCGGATTGAGCAAGAAGAAGAAATATCAAGACATAAAGATAATACTATGGAACAATCTAGAATTGCTGATTAGGATAGTACCATTCTTCCTCTAATTTTGTCTCACTATATAGCTGTCTAATTGTACAAAATATAGCTGTCCATTGTACAGAATTGGTTATAGGTCTGTCTTTTTTGTTTTTCTCCTTTTGTATAAGTAGGGGTACATATACAATGTAAAAAAAAAAACGTTTCAAAGGAATGCAAAATATTCCTATTGCTTTCAGTTCTTTCATCAGTTTTCAGGTTTCTCCACCCCCTACCTCAGTTTTCAAGTTCACTTATAGGCATCTACTATTTTATCCTTATTTGTAACAAGTAGTTCTGCAAGTTTATACGAGCAACTTCCTATTTACGTACCCGAAACCCAGTCTGTTGATTGAAACATGTCGTGTACATCAAATTGTGATTTGGTTTATAGAACGGAGCCAAAAGCAATATTCACAATTGCCACTAGGTTTTAAAGAAGAGATATTGATTGACCAGCACCTGGATGAATCTAGTGCTTGTTTTCGAGGACCAAATTCATTTTCAGCTAAATTTTAGAAGGGAACAGTCTGACTGGCTTCTTTGCGCAGGACAGAATTTATATATAATATTTCTGTAACATCTGTATGCAATTGAAAGATAGTATAAGCGAAAGAAATTCCACGTTAACATATGTCAAAAGTTTTGCCTGTATAATCATAGAAAAAGTTTAAGATAATTGTTTCAAGAGAAAGGAGTACGATAACAATCTCAAGATTATCAGATGCAAGTTTAACTGCTTCCGCCATAGGATTGATAAGCACACAAGTACAAAATAATGGCCTAAGATAAATTGAACCAAATCAAATTAATCATATAAAACGAACAAAGCGCATTTTTCTTGATAGAACTGATTTGAGTTCAATTGCAGCAACACACAATCTAATTGCTTAATGGGGTGCGCCAGTTAGGTGACAAGAAAAAATAATATAAGAGAACCTGCAAAAATCATGATGGAGCAACAATAGAAAGGTAATATAAACTTGCTTATGTTGTCAGTTCCATAATGGCACTAACTATGTCCCAGTTGTTGGTCTTCAACGCTTTAACTGCCTTGCTCCTGGACACACCTGCTTGTGTCATAACCAACTCAATGTCTCGAGGTTCAACCCCCGTCTCATCAACCTCTTCTTCTTCTTCCTCAGCCTCTGCAGCAGCAGTAGAGGGAGAGACATTTGACTTAGCCATAACAGATCCCATGTCTGGCATCCTAAACTGTTGCGCTGCCTGTGTCTGCAGCTGAGAGCTCAAATCTTCAATCTTAGCCTCTCCAAATATGACATAGGTTTCCGAATGTGCGCTCTTAAAGACATCTGGTTTTGAGATGCAAAATAAGACCTGCAATAGTTGTTATCGAACTAGTCAGCAACAATTAATAGCTGAATTTTCCAGATGAAAGGATATAATGAGGAAACTAACATTTTTTGTCCTCTTAATAGTGACCCTGCTAACACCTGTAAGAGGTTTCATGCCAAGTTTCAACATGGCTTTACGACTCTTTTTCTCACTCCGGCTCTGCTTGGTACTTTCATTACCACCTGTCATTGATGGAAAAAGTTTGAACACGCATTACCATTGATATCACAGACTGCTGAGCAGTTGATTTGGCATGTCTATCAAATATATGATACAACTAGGTAATGGCCCCAAACATGCGCAACAGAGCAATTGCTCTGTTGCAATTGAAAGAGCAAATCTGTATGCAATTGAATTAGTTCACAAAATGAAACAAATAAAAAAAAAATGACTAGCAAGTATACAAACATGTCTGCTAGTTCTATCCCTAAGAAGGAGACTGCATCTAGCAGTTAGAGCTGTGTACCCAAAATTTACACTAGTGGGTCTAATATTCCGTCAGCTTGTAAATAGCCAAATTCAAAATGTAGGACAGTATTATCCATATTTCAGAAGCTGCCTCCCAACAAGAATTAGTCAACATTCCAAATTGAATTACAAAAGTTTACCAAGCCCAATCAGCTCATACAACAATGACTACAATAAAGTAGATGAATTGCTGTTAGGAAATTAAACATGTAGCATCCATTTCTTTTAAAACCTTCTATGAACAATGTCATAATATGCATTGAACTCTTAGAACAGAAACCAAAATAAACTGCAGAAGTTGCATTAGCCCCAAACGGTTCAGTTACTAATTGAGTACCAAAAGAGCTTAGCCAATACAAAACTCTGTGCATGAAATCCTATGTGATCTACGCAAAGATTCTGAAGTCGCAGTAGCAACTTCACAAACTAGCAGTGATGGACCAAAGTCAAAATCAGCATGCTCAAGTAATCAATCAACTTAGCCTCAAACACAAACTATATTGAATCCTCTACCTAATTCCCAAAGTTTAGACGATTCATCATATTATGAGTAATTCTTATGCTATCGATCAACCTACTGCAATCGCGACCCCTCATTAGGGACTGGAAATGCAAAAATTTTGAAAACAAAATAAGAAACTTCAAACACGAATACAGAGGAAAAGAACATTCGGGAACACCAGTAGAGAAACAAGACCTAGGGCATCATCTTCCTTGTCATCATCGTCGTCCGAATCATCCGCTTCATCATCATCGTGGTCGTCGTCTTCCTCTTTCACATCTTACACTATGAGCTCCTCATCCTGTGGCCCCCAATATCAACAAAGATAACGTTACCATTAAAACAGAGCAACTAATCTATTAATGCACACAAAACTTTTGGGGAACAAAGATTTGAGAGGAAAATGGAGATAAATGAAAGTACCTGAGGCTTCTTCTCGACCTCAACTTCTTCGACTATGGGACCTGGCATGGCTCGCTCTGTATATGGTTCTGCTACAGCTTTACTTTGAGGATGAAATTGTCTAAGGGGTTCCTCTGTTAGGGGCCTATTTAACCAGTTAGCCCAGTTTCACTTCACTATTGGACTACTTCGCAAGGGCTCATAGATTTTCGAGTCCTAAATACTGACTTATTCAACCACTTAAAATAAAATTAGCCAATAAATATATAGTATATATGTATAATTCATATATAATAGGTATATAATTTATATATAACGATTAGAAAAAGCAAACAATATATTACGTGAACACTTGGTAGGTGCATGTCGTTATTCGTTGGATAAATGTACAGACAGTGAGAGCATGTGGATTGAATACATACCAAGAGAAAGAAAGCAAATGGGTTCAAGCAGCAAGAGCCAGACTGTGGATCCACCTAATTTAAGGCAGCTGAAGACGAAGAAGAAACATTCTTATACGTTGTTACCCTCCAAAATTCTATCAAAGGTCGTGATAGTGCCTAACTCACTAGCAAGGCAAGCCAACACACATATCAATAACAGAATTCAATTATTAAGAAACTAACATAACTCAAATATCAAATGTTGCATAAATCTCAGATAAGGTCTGCATATGACCACAACTGTCTCACAAACTCTCCCAAAATCCGTGGTGACACAACTAGTCACATGCATCTAATAAGAGTACAAGATCTCAACTGAATACAAGGTATGTCCGGATATAATAAAATTACAAATACAGTTATAAAGAATAGGGAAGGAAGACTCCATGTGATGCGTATTGGATCAATTAAGCAGCTCACCACAAAGTCTCTAAAAGAACTCCTACTCTGCTGGATAAATGCCACCAAAACCAGTCTCGGAACTTGTACAAAAAGTGCAGAAGTGTAGTATGAGTACAAAACACGATACTCAATAAGTATCAATTCTAGCCTCAAAGAAGTAGTGGCGAGAGGTTAATAGTCGGAGCTACTAACAGCTCAATAATCACAAGAGTCATAGCATCATATGGGATAAAGCATGATAGTATCAATCACATCTACCAGTATAAGCACAGTAAAGCTGGTATGTAAACATGCTTTTCAAACAAGAGATAGCATATAATATCACATATCTCAAATCTTTAACAATCATGATATGAGTCAAATAACAGTCAGGTAAAAGAAATGAGAGCCACTGCTTGAGTGTAAGCGACAAATACACCCTCACAATCCAATACCAATTCTCACCGCACAAATCTATATACATGATGCTGACAGAGTGTCCAAATCAATATCAATCTGAGTACCATGCGTTCACAGGGCCAAAAGTAATATGGGTAAACACCTGACTCCGGAGGGATGATACCAAATTCAAGCGACGTTGAGGCGTGCAACCCGATCTACTAATAGTAATAATAATGTTATGCCGTGCAATCTGATCCCTAAATATTCCCGTGGCAACTCGATCCACACATAATACCATTACAACGTGCAACCCGATCCACATAATACTATCAGGAACTAATATCTGCTTATAATATCCATGGTGGGAGAATTTTTATCTTTTCACAATATTCAACTCTCAAACTCATAGATATATGATATTTAGCTTAA